GTAGTAGTAGTAGTAGTAGTAGTAGTAGTAGTAGTAGTAGTAGTAGTAGTAGTAGTAGTAGTTAGTAGTAGTAGTTGTAAGGAAGTAGTAGTAGTAGTAGTAGTAGTAGTAGTAGTAGTAGTAGTAGTAGTAGTAGTAGTAGTAGTAGTAGTAGTAGTAGTAGTAGTAGTAGTAGTAGTAGTAGGAGTAGTAGTAACCTTAGTAACAGGTGTAGCAGCAACAGCAGTGGTGGCACGTATAGGTCGCCTGCCTTTCCTCCTCCCATCTTCCTCCCATCTTCACCCCCGTTCGCCTCAAAGATCACCCCCCAGGACCGCCCGAACCCGTTCAGGACCATCTGGGATCCCTTGAACCTCCCTCTGCCTTCCTCCCCCCCCCTCTGGCCTGATGGACGAAGTCGGGGCGCAAGCTTGCCCCCATTTTATTCCAGGTATCGTATTTTCGTTGTTTCTTCCGTGTATCTATATATATATATATATGTATATATATACATATATGAAAGAGCGTGTTCTACCGCTGCTGGCGGAAAACCGGGGGGGTCACTACCGGTTCGAACCCCTCCCCCCCCCCCCCCCCCCGAAAACCGGGGGGGGTCACTACCGGTTCGAACCCCTCCCCCCCCCCCCAGCTCATCATGAAAAGGGGGGGGGGTCACTACCGGTTCGAACCCCCCCCCCCCCCCTCGAAAACCGAGTGGGGGTGCGGACAGTGGTGGGGACGGTGTTGGTGGGGACAGTGGTGAGGGGACAGCGGGACAGTGGTGGGGACAGTGGGGGGACAGTGGGACAGCGGTGGGGACGGTAGTGGTGGGGACAGTGGTGGGGACAATGGTGGGAACAGGGGGGACAGTGGACAGTGGTGGGAACGGTGGTGGTGGGGACAGTGGTGTGGGGACAGTGGGAATGAGGTGGAAACACTGGGACAGTGGAGGGTACAATGGTGGTGGGGACACTGGTAAAGGCGTCGGCGAGGACGGCGGTGGGACAATGGGACAGAGGTACAGTGGGGACAGTGGTGGGGACAGTGGGGACAGTGGTGGGAACAGTGGGACAGCTCAGTGGGACAGCGGAGGAGTCAGTGGGACAGTGGGGACAGTGGGGATAGGCAGTGGTTGGGTCCGTGGAGACAGTGGGGAGAGTGGAACCGTGGTGGGAACAGTTGTGGGAACAGTGGGGACAGTGCGACAGTGGTGGGGGCACTGGTGGGGACAATAGGGACGGTGGTGGAACCAGCGGGGGCAGTGGTGGTGAGGACAGTGGTGCTGGGAACAACAGTGGGGGATGTCATGCGAGCGGTGGTAGGGACCGGGAGTCGTTTGCTGGCGGTGCGTGGGGGGGGGGTCGAACCGGTAGTGACCCCCCTCCGGTTTTCGAGGGGGGGGGGGGGAGGGGTTCCAACCGGTAGTGACCCCCCCCGGTTTTCCGGATCCGGAGGGGGGGGGGGGGGAGGGGTTCGAACCGGTAGTGACCCCCCCCGGTTTTCGAGGGGGAAGGGGAGGGAGGGAGGGGGGGGGGGAGGGGTTCCAGCAGGGGGGGGGGGGGATTTTCGGAGGGGGGGGGGGAGACCCCCGGGTTCCGGAGGAAAAGGTTGGCAATTTTCCACAGTAAAGCGGCGGTGGATCACGCTCTCTCTCTCTCTCTCTCTCTCTCTCTCTCTCATATATATATATATATATATATATATGTCTATGTGTTAAAAGAGCTAGCTTCTTTATTCATTGTACGAGGTTGAATACGAGCTGGACTTTCATACCTCGATCGGGCACGCTGACCTCGGCCATGCAGCCGTTCGACGACGACCTCCACCTGATCCTCCACCCTCTCGTCTTCCGCCTCCATCTTCCGCCCAGGCCTTATTTCTCCTATGTCAGCGTGCTGCACCTGTACGAATCCCTCGGCTGGTGGCGGACCCCCCAGGCCCGCTGGCCCTCCGCGACGAAGGAGGATAAGAAGGAGGAGGGTTTGTTGGGGGGTTTTTGGTATCGACCGCCACCGACCCACTCTACAGGGGGCGTAAAGTTGAGACATCGACTGTGATCCCTGACCTCTTGGGGTGGGGTCCCTTGCCAAACAGTCTCTGACTCTCGCACATCTGAGGCTGCGCGAGAGGAGCGCATACGGCCGCTAGTTTAGCGACCCTGCCAACAGTGGTAAAAGAGCCACACCGTTGGCAGCTGCAAACAAAGGAAAAACCACTGCAGTCGACTACAACGCACCTTTGACCCAGATCGCGGAGCGCTTGAGGTTGCATGCGGGGCAGCAGCGCTTATAACCAGAGGCGAAGGCTTCGAGGGCGAACGGCCGCATCGAAGACAACGAACACATTGCCAGTACGAGCGGGGTGGTTGTCCAACTAGTTTCCATTCGTGAGGTGGCCTCGGATCTTTCACGCACGGGGGAAGGGCTTCAGAAACACGAGCAACACCCCCAACGTCGGTCCGAGGCCATCTCTCCACGGCCAACCTGGTCACAGCTCCCGAAGTGGCACACAAACATTTGATCCGTTTCAGCTTCTGCGTCCGAGTGGCGAGGGTGCAAGGTGGCTCCTTCCTTTGCCGCTTGGTCAGCGGCATGTTTGCCTATGACGTGCAGTCTGCCTTTCACCAACAAGCGTTCATCCTCCTGCTGGTGGGCTCGAACCTTCACCACTGACAGCAACAACCCTTGCCCAAAACATTAAGCATGCATCGCCAGCCCACTGTAAGGCCGAGATGGGTCCTTGGGAGGTTTCGAAAAATGGTTCACTGCCGCACGGCAGTCGGAATGGAAAACCGAATCCCCTACCAGGAGCGACGCAGCAGCACCATAAGCCGCGACTTCTGCAGCGAAACTAGTCAGGGGGAGCGAGCTGCCTAGCGGCCCAACACATCTAGCTAGGACACGTCCAGCCTCACTGAGCCAGACCACTCCTCAGCCCGATCGAGACAGGCCTGTGGTAACATAGCGAAAACAACTGCTGTTGCCATACAGAGCCTACCCTTACGCTCTCGAACCCCAAGGTCAGGCGGAGGGAGGCTTTCCTCGGCAAACGCCTCTGGGAATACTTGGAATTGGATGGCTGCCGTGGCCTCGTCAAGGCTGAGAGGCTGAGGAACGTCCCGGGAAAGGGTGCACACTGAGGCCTGTCTCGTAAAGGAAGTCAAATGCTGGCGACGGCTCGGCGAGATGCGACCGAAGCCGCTCCAGGAGGCTCTGGCCGACAATGCTCAGCCGCTCCTCCTACCGAATCTCGCAGAACCACAGCCGATGAACTATCGTGTCTCCTACCTGATCGCAGAGTGGGCAACGGTCTTCAATCTGATACCGCTTAGCCACACGGTCAGACACAGGCCTGACAGCTCTACACGCAACCGCCCTAAAGCACGTTTTGTGCTTTTGGGAGAATTTTCCCGAGGACAGCGCTCCCGAGGCAACATCAACACAACCACGGCTTCCATCGCCAAATTTGGAGCCCACTTCGACCTCGAGCCACTTCAGGACCGAAGACTACAGGAACTTCGTAACCAATGCTCGTGACAATAACGAAGGATATGAGAAACACTACCATACCAAACCAACTGGATCATTCTCGAGGCGTGCAAGAATGGATCAACTCCGCTCTCCACTGGCAGGACGGAAGATAGAAGCGAATATACGGTGCACGCGGAGGAGGAGGATGAGGAGGAGGAGGGGGATGAGGAGGAGGAGGATGAAGAGGGGGAGGGCGAGGACGAGAAGGAGGAGGAGGAGGAGGAGGAGGAGGTGGAGGACGAGGGCGAGGACGAGGACGAGGCGGGGGAGGACCAGTGTAAACCCAAGTCCCATCACCGATATTGCAATACACCCTCCCTCCAAGTTCCCTCTTCGGAGGCTCCTGCAAGGATTCATTTTCACTGATGGGAGTGCCCCGTTTGAAGACGACCGTTCGAACATCCCGAACTGTGCCAGAACACCATTTCTGGAACTTCAACGCCGCGAATCACCATTATTGTTGCGTCTTGACGATGTTAAACCGTGCTGGAACACCAATTCTGGGACTTCAGCACCGTGAGTTGACGTGACTGTTGCGCCCTGGCATTCCGACATTTTGCCAACACGTTCTGTCTGGGACGTTAACCATGAGAATCCTGGAAACTGTTACACTGTTACAAACTGTTCAGACGAATGTGCGCGGCGGCGCTAAGGCGAGATCCACGTTTTGAAAAGGAACCGCTCTTTATCCGAGAATATCCTACAAGCTTTTAAGACGTATGTGCGCTGCGCGAAGGCGAGAGCCACATTGTGCTCAGGAGCCGCCCTTCCTCGTGAAAGTCTTGCAAATGTTTAAGACGTATGTGCGCGGCGCTATGGCTAGAACCACATTTTGAAAAGGAGCCGCCCTCTATCCGTGAAGCTCTTGCAAGCTTTTAACACGGATGTGCGCGGCGCGAAGAGGAGAGCCACATTTCGGAAAGGGGCCGTTCTCTATCCGTGAAGCTCTTGGAAGCTTTTAAAACGAATGTTCGTGGCGTCAGGGCGAGAGTTACATGTTGAATGCGACCCGCCTTCCATCTGGAAACTGTTGCAACTTGCACGTTTCATGATCATACGTGGTGAGGAAGTTTCAAGCGAAACGCCCAGCCCGCCTTTTAAACCGGCCCCAGGGCGCGACAGGGTGGAGTTGTTTTTAAGGACGAGGGATGACAGTGGAGGAGAAGGAGGAGGCTAGGGTGGAACATGCGCAGTAGGCGGTATCTCAAGTTGTCCAAGGGGCGTGGAGGAGGAGGAGGAGGAAGCGAGGAAGAGGAGGAGGAGGAGGAGGAGGAGGAGGAGGATGGTGGAGGAGGAGGGGAGAAGAGGAGGAGGAGGAAGATGGAGGATTGAGGTGGAGGGAGGAGGACGGCAGGAGGGGGGGTGGAGGAGGAGGAGTGGCAGGAGGAGGCAGCAGGACGGGAGTATGAAAGGACCAGGGAGGAGAAGGTGGGGGGGTAGGAGGTGGGAGAGGAGTGAGTGAAGCAAGAATGAGGAGGGGGAGGAGAGGAGGTGGAGGGGTGGCAGGAGGAGGTGGAGGAGGAGGAGGAGGAGAAGGGGAGGTGGAAGAGGAGGGAAGGAGGAGGAGGGGGAAGGAAGCGAGAAAGTGGAGGAAGGGGGGGGGGAGGAGGAGGAGGAGTGAGGAGGAGGAGGAGGAGGAGGAGGAGGAGGAGGAGGAGGAGGAGGAGGAGGAGGAAACGAGGTGGGGGAGCAGAGGAGGAGGTGAGGAGAGAAGAGGAGGAGGGTGGAGGAGGAGGCAGGAATGGAGGGCGGAGGAGGAGGGTGAGGGGGAGGGGCGGAGAGGAGGAGGAGGTGGAGGAGGAGGAGGAGGAGGAGGAGGAGCAGAAGTTGGACGGTAGGAGTGCGGAGGAGAGAAGGTGGAGGAGGATGGGAATGAGGTTCGAGGATGAGGAGGAGGCGGGATGAGAGGAGGATGATGATGAGGAGGAGGGAGGAGGAGTAGGGGAGGAGGTAGGAGGAGAAGGTGGAGGAGAGGAGGAGGTGGAGGAGGAGGTAGGGGGAAGAGAGGAGGAGTGGATGGAAGGAAGGAAACGGAGGAGGAGTGGAAGGAGGAGGAGGAGGAGGAGCAGGAGGAGGAGGAGGAGGAGGAGAGGAGGAGAGGAGGAGGAGGAGGGAGGAGGAGGAGGATGAGGTGGAGGAGGAGGAGGGGGCGGAGGAGTGGAGGTGGAGCAGGTGGAGGAGGTGGAGGGGACGAGGAGGAGGTGGATATAGGAGGTGCGAGGTCGGAGGAAACAGGAACAGGATGCTGTGATGATGATGATGTGATGTGATGATGATGATGATGATGATGATGATGCTGATGCTGATGCTGATGCTGATGCTGATGCTGATGCTGATGCTGATGATGCGGATGCTGATGATGTTGATGGTGATGGTGATTGTGATGGTGATGGTGATGGTGATGGTGATGGTGATGGTGATGATGATGGTGGTGATGATGATGCTGATGCTGATGCTGATGACGATGATGATACTGATGATGCTGATGATGATGCTGATGATGATGCTGATGATGATGATGATGATGATGATGATGATGATGCTGATGATGATGATGATGATGATGGTGGTGGTGGTGATGATGATGGTGCTGATGATGATGATGATGATGAGGAGGAGGAGGAGGAGGAGGGAAAGGCGGAGGAGCATGAGGAGGATGAGCAGGAGGAGGATCAGGACCAGTTGAAACCCAAGAGGCATCAATCATGGTTGAATTCACCCTCCCTCCAAGCTCCCTTTTCATAGGCCCCTAAACCGGTCTATTTTTACTGTGGGAACTGCGTCGTCTTTTTGAAGACCCTGAAGCATGCCAACACATTGTTCTCGGGATTCCAACGCCACGGATCAACCTGACTGCATCGTGTTGACGATCCTGAAGCGTGCCAGAACGCCATTATTGCGACTTGGACACTGCGAACCAACAGAACTTGTACACCATAAGCCTGAGTCCTTCCAAAACTCAGCTTCTGGTCATGGGAGCCAGTGAAACTCTTGCAACTGTTCAAGACGAATGTGCGCGGTGCTAAGGCGAGAGCCACATTTGGAAAGGAGCCGCCCTCGATCCGTGACAATGTTTTAAGACGAGTGTGCGCGGCGCTCAGGCGAGAGTCACATTTTGAAAACAGCTCGTCCTCAACCCGTGAAACTGTTGCAAGTGTTTAAGACGAATCTGCGCGGCGCTAAGGCGAGAGCCACATTTTGAAAATGGCGCGCCCTCAATCCGCAAAACTTTTGTAAAGCTTGAACACGAATGCGCGCGGCGCCAAGGCGAGAGCAGCACTTTGAAGGAATCGCCCTCAATCCGTGAAACTCTTGCAAAAATGTTTGAGACGAGTGTGCACGGCGCTAAGGCGAGAGCCGCATGTTCAAAAGGAACCGCCCTCAATCCGTGAAGCTTTTGCAAATGTTTAAGACGACTGTGCGCAGCGCTGAGGCGAGAGCCACATGTTGAAACCGACCCACCTTTAATCTGCGAAACTCTTGAACATTTTTAAGACGAGTGTGTGCGGTGCGAAGGCGAGCGCCACAGTTTGACAACGACCCGCCCGCCATCTGTGAAACTGTTGTAAGATGTTAAGCTCCAGAGTTGTAAATGGTGAGAAAGTCTCAGGCGAAATTCCTAGCCCGCTCTAACAAGTGGCCTTGGGGTTTAACAGGGAGAAGTTATTCTAAGGAGAAGGAATGGAGGAGGAGGAAGAGGAGGATGATGGTGATGAAGAGGAAGGAAAGGGGGAGGAGCATGAGGAGGAGAAGGAGGAGGAGGAGGAGGAGGGTCCGAGAGTCTGAGCATGCAGCCCGGTCAATGCCAGGTTGCAACGCACGGGGCGGGCCCGCGCTTTGCGCGGACCCGCTCCGCCCTTTCGACCTCCAGCGCGATCCTCCTCCCTCCGCTTCTCCTCGTCCCTCCTCCCTCCTCCCTCCTGCCTCCTCCTCCTCCTTCTCCTCCTCTTTCTTCTCCTCCTCCCGTTCTTCCTCCTCCTGCTCCTCCTCCTTCTTCTCCTCTCTCCTCCTCCTCGTCCTCCTCCTCCTCCTCCTCCTCCTCCTCCTCCTCCTCGTCCTCCTCCTCCCTCCTCCTCCTCTTCCTCCTCCTCCTTCTCCTCCTCCTCCACCTCCTGCTTCTCCTCTCCTGTTCTCCTTCTCCTTCTCCTCCTCCTCCTCCTCTCTCCTTCTCTCTCCTCCCTCCTCCTCCTCCTCCTCCTCCTCCTCCTCCTCCTCCTCCTCTCCTTCCTCCTCCACTTCCTCCTCCTCCTCCTCCTGCTCCTCCTCCCCTTTCTCCCCTGGAGTCCTAAGGCCTACGAGTCCTGCGCATACGGTCGGGAGCTTTGGCTCAGCGTGTCGCGCCGCCGGCTCTGGCCCCACCACGCTTCGGCGCGACACACTGTCCACGCCCCTTGTCCCCAAGCGTCAATGTCTCGAGTTCTGCCCTGCCTCCAGCCCTGTGGAGCGGAGCGACACGCTCTCCGCTTGCAAGGCGTAGCGTGTCGCTGGGGCCGCCGCAGGCGACTGTTCGTGACCGTAGAGGCCTGAGGCCTAAGAGTCTTGCGTAATATTCTGGTGGTTGACGTGTGCCTGTGTGTGTGTGCAGTGGCGAGGCCACGTCGATTCGCTAGGAGTTAAGACGTTTGGCTTTGGAGGTTCGGCCCAAAGCTTACAGTACTAGCCGGCCGCTCTGCGGTTGATCTGGAGTTTCTGTATATAGCAGAAGGGGCATGCGCTTGCGCTCGACGACGATGGTGAGAATGAGCGGGCGTCGGTGGTGCGGCGGGTGAGGATCATGAGGGTGAGGATCAGGAGTGTGAGGCTCATGTGGAGGTCCCTGGAGATCATCCGTCCTCCTCCTCGTCCTCCTCCTCCTCCACATTCTCGCTCTCTCCTCTTCCTCCTCCTCCTCTCTCCTCCCGCCTCCCTCCTCCCTCCTGCTCATCCTTTTCCTCCTCGTGCTCGCCCTCGTGCTAGTCCTCGTTTTCGTCCTCGTCCTCGCCCAGTGCGCCTGGCACGCCTGGCGCATCGCCGGAAATGTTCCTTGGTGGTGCGCTGGGGTCCCGTGGGGAGGTTTTGCGAGGATGTCTCGAGTGAGTGCGCCGGCTTGGGACACGCCCAGTGCGCCCGGCGCGCCCCGTGCATCGCCGGAAATGGTCGCTGGGGGTGCTTTGGGAGGCGATTTTCTCGCTCGCCGGGAGTCAGGATGACGTGAGTTCCACAGAGCCCCCTCAAAAGGAGGAATTAATTCGTCAAGCCGAGCAGAGACCTGCGGCTTGAGAGTCTGGCGTAGTCTTCTGGTGGCGGACGCTGCTCCGCAACGGTTCCGATACCGATCCGATGCCTGGTGAGTGCGCTGTCTCCGCCCCAGAGGTCCCTGGAGGCCCCCGCAGGCTCGCGGATACCAGACACGAAGGGCCAGTCGCGTGCAACATCCAGCTGGACACGTTCAGACATCTCCCTGCTCGGCCCTCGGAGAATCGAGGGCAAAGCTCAGGCTCCTCGGCCTGCCTCCCCCTTCCTTCCTCGATCCTCCGCCCTCCTCCCTGCTCCCCCCCTCCCTGCAGTGTGTCCCGGTCCTCTCCCCTTCCGGCTCCGCCTCCCGCTTCCAGTGGTCCTGGCACCGCCCAGACGTGTGCATTTTTCCTCGGCGAGGGCCATCGAGGAGCATCCTGGATCATCTTGCGGGAAAAGAAAAACGCGCACGACACCGAACCATGCATGGAGAATGGACGTCCAAGCGATGCCGGGCGGTGGCGCGATCCGATCTACGGTGCTGGCTGGTGCGCGCGAGGCCGCCGTGGGGACCTTTGCGCCCCGTGTGTAGCAAAGGGATCTGTCGCCCGACGCGCGGCCTTCCGTCTTGGGGAGGGCGCCTCGGCCACCAGGGCAGACTCCACCTCGGACGCGGTGGGTTCGCCGTGGGTCTGCCGCCGTGCCAGCTTCGACTGCTCGGACGCGAGACGCAGGGTTTGCTGCGGGTTTGCCCTTGTGTCGGTGCAGTCCACTTGGGCGCGTCGAGAACAAACGGCGCGGCGACACGTCGACCCTCAACCCCTTCTTCGGCGGCGCGCAGAGTGGGGTGGGGCGAGGAGTGCGCTCTTCTGAGAAGGCGGGGGGGCCTCTTAGAAGGCAGAGGCCTCCGTAGAAGGCCCTGGTGGCAGCCAAGAAGCCGTCTTAGAAGGCTGGAGGGCTTCTAAGACGTTCCATGCTTTCTTAGGCCCCCTTCCCTTTTTAGGCTGCCGCCCCCCTGGCGTCACCTCTTGTACGCGCCGCTAGCTTCTTCGCCCCCTCCCCCTCCGCGAGCTCCGGGAGCTGCACAACGCCGAGGAAGACAACGAGCTGCACCACATGCTGATCATGGAGTCCCTGGGTGGCAACAGCGCGTGCGGGCCTCAGATGGGGGACAGCGATGACGATTATTGTGATAATGATGATGACGATGATGCTGATGGTGATGGTGATGGTGCTGATGATGATGACGATGCTGATGAGTATGATGATGCTGCTGCTGCTGAGTATGATGATGATGCTGATGAGGATAATGATGAGGATGATGATGAGGATGATGATGGTGATTGTGATGGCGATGGTGGTGGTGGTGGTGGTGATGGTGATGGTGATGGTTGTGCTGGTTATGAAGGTGGTGATGGTGATGCTGCTGCTCATGATGATGCAGGTGATAGTGATGCTGCTCAGGATACTGGTGATGTTAATGATGATGCTGATGATGATGCTGATGATGATGATGATGATGATGATGATGATGATGATGATGGTGGTGGTGGTGGTGATGCTGCTGCTGCTGCTGCTGATGATGATGATGATGAGACTTGTCCTGCGAACTTGTCGGGGGTGCAGCACAGAGTCCGTTCGATTTCGCTCAAGCCTTCCAGCCTCAGGGAGCACCTGTCTTCTATGCTCCCCAACCAGCCGCGTATCCCTCCCTGAGTGCTGGTCTGCGCCTGGTGCACCATGGACGCTGTCTGGCCTGGCCTGGTGCGCAGCGGTGGCGGAGGGCCCCCGCAACCTCTCAGGCTGCCTCGAGGACCTCTTGTGGCTGCACACGGAGGTGGCGGCGCTGGCGTGGCACTTGCAGGAACTCCGCAAAGACCAAGCGCAGCAGCACAGCGACGCGGACTCAGTCTACGCCCGCTCGATAGGAGTGGTCTTGACGGGCATCGTCACGCAGATCTTGAATGTGTTCAGCCCCTGTCGTTTTGGTGGTCATGGCGTCGCTTCCTCGGCTGCAGCTCTACCAAGCGGAGGGGAGCGCCGCCGTGGCGGCGGAGTTTTTCAATGAGTTGCTGCCAGGCCGCATCGTCACCTTCCATTCCGGCGATGACCGCGGCATATAGCATGAACGGGTCTTGATCTGGCCTGCGGACGCGCTCAGCAACCACCCGCTCGATGGACGATCGTGACTCCCGACGGCGACGTGTACGACAATGAAACTGCCAGCGGCGCTGACGGGGATGGTCTCGGCATGGCGTCGCTGACCTTCGGAGCCACCCCCGTTCGGCAGCGCCCAGCTGGGCGGGTCTACCGCTTCACCGCCTACCTGACGGAGGCCGAGCTGCTCGATATGGTTCGCGCCGCCAGGCCCGTCCGCCGTCTCGTGAGAGCCAGTTTTGTCGACCTGACTCAGGTGATCCTCCTGGTGACGGGATGCTTCTTTTTGCTGTCCCTGCCGCGCCAGTCTCTCCAGATTCTTTGCCTGGACTATCCCGTTCGGTTCGGGCTCTCATCCATCGTGCTCAGTCCATTGAGGAGAGTACTCGGGACACCGTGGAGTGCCTCAACGCTCTTGGGGGCTACACGCCGCGGTGCACGCCAGAGCGCCTCTCAGACATGGGCGACCTTTTAATTCGACGCGCTCGCCGCCTGCATCGGCAGATGGAGGCACCAGCGGGCGCGTCAGCCCAGGAAGCCTGTCCAGAGCTTTTGGGCCGCCCGTGTCTTCACTACGACACGTCTCACGATCTACCGCTGAGGCCATCTGCACCACACCTCGTGAGCTGGCCCCAACTTGGGAACAAGCCTGGATGGCTTGCTGACCGACTCGGGGCCCGCGCCCGATGCCCTCTCCTGGATCTCGACCACGCCTTGCTGCTGCCGCCAACGAGATTTGACGCTGTCGTCGAGGAGGTCGGGAGGCCCGCGCTATACATGCACCCTGTGCTGGAGAGGAACCGCACGATGTACAGGGATTTTATGAAATCGAGGATCTCCAGGGGCGTCTTCGTGGCTGGCAAGACCAGAATCGAGGGCGTCAGGGCGTTCTTCGTTGCCCAGAAGGACGGCCGCATCAGGATGGTGCTCGACTGCAGGAGGGTCAATCGACGATTTCAGCCTCCTCCTCCAGTCAGCCTCTTCTCTGCCGCGGGCACCTGAAGGTGCCCGAGGGAGCGCCGCTTTACTTCGCGGGGGTCGACGTCCAGAACGCCATCTACCGGCGCAAGTTGCCTGCCTACCTGCGACCGCTGTTCTGCCTGCTGGCGAGCTGGGCGTCGCCGGGCTGGACGGGCGTCGCGCGGCTCCCTGTGCCCGCCTGTGCCCGTAGCTGGCAGCGGCGACGATGGGCTGGATCTGGGCGTTCTACTTCGCGCAGATGTCCCGCGAGCGCGTGCTGGGCGGCCGCGACGCCCTCGGGCCCGAGCTGCGGGCCGTGGACTTCACGCCGCCGCCGACGCCGCTTGCCGAGCCGATCCGCTCCCTCTAAGTCGACAGCGCGCTCGTCGTCGGCACGGATCGGGAGGGGGGCGCGCGTCGGGCGGCTGGCCTCCCAGGCGTTGGAGGCCGCGGGGCTCGCCGTCCACGACGAGACCGACGCGGCGGACTCCGCGACGATGCCGGGGGGGGCAGTTGGAGGGGTGGCCTGCGCGGGCCACGCTGGCGCCGCGCTGCTTCTGGGAGCTGCGCCTGGGCCTCTGCCGTCTGGCGCAGTGTCGCCCCGGGGTGACCTGGCCGCGACGTCGAGCGCGCGCGGGGCCGCTGCGCCTTCGCGGCTCTCTGTCGCCGCGAGAGCCTGAGCTGCTTCGGCGCCGCCTACGCCTCTGTTCAGCAGGGGTGCCGGCGCGCTCGGCCGTTGCGGGCGTCAGCGCGGAAGGAGCCAAAGATCTCCCGCGGCGCCCTCGTCGCGCTGTGCTCGCAGCTGGGCGCCCGCGGTCCTCCGCGGTGGTCGCGGCGGATGTCTGCGAGACGGGCCGCGCCTCGATGATCGCCAAATGGGGCGCGGTGGCCATCGTCGCCGCGGGGCGCCGGCACGAGAGGCGGCTGTTCCGCCGCGCGCGCGAGGGGGGCGGCAGCTGGCGGCCGCGCGACCGCGCGGCTCTCGCAGTCGAGGCCGCAGCGTTGGACGTCGAGCCGTCGTTCGCAGTATTGAGGGGCGAGTGTGATAAAAGCTTTCCAGAAGTGTCTGCGCCCGCCCTCCGCCGCCCCAACTGGAAATTGCAGCGCTGCGCCCCGCTGCTCAGGAAGGGGCCTATGCGCCGAAACGAAGGAAGAGGAGATCTACGCTCCGTCAAGCTGACTCTGTCGGACGCGGGTTCTCCGGGGGAGAGGCGCGTCGTCTTGGGGGGCGCTCTTGCGCTTGCACTCGCGCTCTCTAATGCCATTGCCGTGACATCTACATGCTCCATCCACTTTGCAGAGGGGCCGCTCCCTCGTGGGTCACGGGCCCCCGTGTCCAGAGGCGACGGGCGCCCGGCGAGCTGGGCGGCGCCGATGGCGCCGGCCGCGCCCGCGAGCGTGCTGGCGGACAACGAGCGCGCGCCGCGCACTGGCGAGCGCTTGCTACGCAGGGCCGCCAGCTGCGGCCCCGCCGTGGCGCTAGCGCCCCGCAGGCTAGCGCGGGCGCCCCTGGACTCTGGCCCCCAGCTGCCGTCGCGGTCTGGGCGGGCGGCTCCAGCTCAGCCGTCGCCGACGGCTGCTCGGGCCCCTGCTTGGGTGCGAGTCTCAGCTCAGGTTGGGCCCGCGGCTGGCGCATCTGGTGGAGCGGCCGTTCTTGCCGAGCTTCGCGCCTCCCATCGCGTCCTCGACCCCCTTGCGGGAGACGCCTGAGGTCTGCGCGGCGCCGCCTGGATGCTGGGGGGAGGCGCGGGGCAGTGCCCGCCGGCTCTCCATCGCCGAGACCTCCGCCGCGGGGAAGCGCAGCCGCCGGCAGCGCCGTAACCTGTTGGAGCAGTTCCTGGCAGCTACCAAGCTGGGGGCGCCGGAAGTTGCCGCGCCCATGCTGGGCGCCGCCGTGGCGAGGTTCTTCGACGAGCTGTACCTGGCGGGGAAGGTCGCCTCGACGGGCGAGAAGCTGATCGCCGCCATCGCCATGCACGTGCCCGGCTACAAGAGCAAGGGCCGCCTGGCGCTCCCACGTGCGCATCGTGCGCTGCGGGGCTGGAGGATGCCGCGGCCGTCGCGGGCGCGCCGCCCGTTGCCCTGGGCGGCCTGCATGGGCGTGGCTCGGCGGCTGTGGCAGCTCAGTAGCAAGTTGGAGATGCCCCTCTGTTGGCTACTGATGGTCGACGCTTATCTCGAGCCCGGCGATGCACGCCGCTTGACAAAGGGCCAGGTGCTGCCACGTCAAGCGAAGATGCCCAAGGTGACGATGCACATCGATCCCGACTCCCTCAAGAGGCCGAGCAAGACGGGCGAGATGGACGAGACCGTGGACATTGCCCGTCCCTGGCTGGCACCCCCTCATCGTTAACCAGAGCCAGGGCGTGCCGACCGACCCGCTCTGGACGTTCACCATGACAGATGTGGAGCGGACCTTAGACAGCGCAGCAGCCTCCCTCGTATTCGACGGCGCGCAGCCCGCGCTGTGCATGGCGCGGCGCAGCGGAGCCTCGATCCCCCGACTCGCGGGGCGGATCTCGCTGCTGGAGGGAGGTTCAGCGTCGCGGCGGGCGGAGGCAGCCCGCGTCCGTCCGCCGCTGCGAGACGCGCGGCCTGATCCAAGCAGCAGGGGCCCAGATGGCGTCTCGGTCGAGGAAGTGCAGCCTGCGTGCCGAGGCCGAGCTGCCCGCCCTGCTAGCCGCGGGCTGCTTGAGAGGCTCCGCCAGCGTCCGTCTAGAGCCAAAGCCGGCCAATTCTTTCCCATCGAGGTGTTCTCGGGGTCAGAGCATTTCTCGAACGCTCTCAGGAAACGTGGTTTCTCTGTGTCTACCTTCGATGTTCTACAGGATCCACGCGGTGACCTCCTTGGGCCCTGTATCTTGGGTCTTGTTTTGCGCATGGCCACGAGTGATGAGCGTCTCGAGCTCCTCGCGGAGTCCCCATGCAAGAGCTTCTTTATTGCCTGTGGTGGCCACGGCGCCATCCGTAGTAATGGCCACCCCCTGGCCCCCCCTTGCTCCCCACCCCCAGGTGTCTTTGCAGATACTTAAAGGTTGTCTACAGATGCGTGCTCCTTTTCTATGGGAGAACCCCTGGTCATCCTACATGTGGAAAGTAGGCTTCGCCCGTCATGAATTGCGTTGGCCTGGTGTGTGCAGTATATCATCACTAATTTTTGTGGCTGGGGTGATCCGTGGTGGAAACCGACCAGGTTTTGCGTTTTCCTTTTGCTTCGGGCCTGCGTTTTGTCAAGGCGTTGTTGACCCATCCGATGGATATGCGCGTTTACGAGTAAAACGCAGCAGATCCTTCATGGCCGCGATGGCTCTGGTGTTCACTAGGCATCTCGCGCTGCCGCCCATCCCAGGACACTGTGTAATGTGTTGGCCGCGGTGTTCATTGATGGCGTTCTTGATATCGCCCTCAGGCAGAGTCTCCACTAGTTCCCCCTTCGCCCTCCCCATCCCAACGAATGACCCTCACGCAGAACCGTTTGCGACCTTTGCGTCCCTCGAAGTCTGGCAAATGATGTTGGTTTCAGTGTGTCGTTCGAGCGCTGCCGCCGCCAGCATCGCTGCTCGCTCGGGTCCCACACAACACATGCGGTCGACAGGTATCACAGCTCTGAATTTGAAGGAAGGGTGGGTAATTTCCGACTTGTCCTGCGAACGTGTAGGGGGTGCAGCACAGAGTCCGTTCTATTTCGTTCAAGCCTCCCGCCCATTTTTTCTCTGATGAACAGAGACCCGTCCTTGCTCGCGGCGGGCCGCAAGCGCAGTCTTGAGCGGCATGTGTTGTTGGTTTCAGTGTGTCGTTCGATCGCTGCCGCCGCCAGCATCGCTGTTCGATTGGTCTCACGCCACATGCGGATGACAGATATCACAGCTCTGAAAAGGAAGGACGGGTTGGGAGCCTGATGGTGCTGATGATGGTGCTAATGTTGGCTGTGGTGGTGGTAATGATGAGGGCGCTGAGGAGTATAAGCAAGAAGGCGACGACGATACCGACCATATTGATGTTGCCGCTGCTGCTTGTGATGACGGTGACGATGGCGATGGTGATGGTGATGGTTGTGCTGGTGATGATTGCGATTACGGGCGAGGTTGAGGATGGTGAAGTGGATTTTGATGGTGATGGTGATGATGATGATGATGGTGGCGACGATGTTGATGATGCGGATCATGAGGACGGTGCTGGTGATGACGGTGGCGATGATGATGCCGATGCTGATGATGCTGGTGATGGTGGAGATGATGTTGTTGATGGTGCATGTGATGATTATGAGGATGTTGATGACGATGATGATGATGATGATGATGATGATGATGATGATGATGATGATGATGCCGATGATGATGATGAATATGGCGCCGACTACGACAAACCATGATGACGACTACGGTGAATACGATGATATTTCGGATATCAATGGTGCTGATGAGATGGATGATGACGGTGGCGATGAGTGAGGACGGCGGCGGCGTTGCTGAGGTTGATGACGAAGATGCTGTTAACGGAAGTGGAGGAGGAGGAAGGCGAAGAGGAGGAGGAGGAACAGGAGGAGTACGAGGGGGAGGAGGAGAGGAGACGAGAGAGGGGAACGAGGAGGAAAAGGATTCCTCATTAAGTCAGAGTGGGGGCGATAAAGGGGAGAAGGACAGTAGGAGGAGGAGGGCGAAGAAGAGGAGGAGGAGGGAAAGGCGGAGGAGCAAGGGTGGCGTTCCGACAGAGCCAAGTCGTACAGTGTTGCGGCTCCTCGGCGACGCGGATCAGGAAGTTTGGTGTGCCGGCTTGCAGGCGTGAGAGACATGTTGGAACATTGCTTGAACCGGAGAGTGAAGTGAACTGAAGCAGTTGCGCAAAGGTGGAATGGGCGAAGGTGACGTCGCTGGTACTGTTGCTGTTGATGATGATTGTGATAATGTCTATGCGGATCTGGTGATTGGGATCTATACGTGATGCGCAGAGCTCTTGATGACCCTGGGGTGAGTAGAGGGCACGATGTAAAGGAGCGTCGACGAAGAGAGCGCGTACTACACAGGAGGTGACGAAGCCAGGAAGGTCAAGAGTTGGCATCCTTCTCATACTGTTCCTGTTTCTCCTCCTCCTCTTCGTTCTCCTCCTCCTCCTCCTCCTCTTCCTTCTCCTCGTTGCCACCGCAGGGGCTGCAATGTGAGGTCGGCCGTGGCCTTGTCCTTGCGTTTGGTTGATGTTTGCCTTCTCAGCGAACCATTCTCCTCCTCCGTCTTTTCTCCTCCTCATTTCCTCCTCCTCCTCCTGTTCTTCTTCTTCTCCTCCTCCTCTTCCTCCTCCTCATCCTTCTCCTCCAAAATGTGGCTCTCGCCTTAGCGCAGCGCAGTTTCGTTTTTTGTTTATATATATATATACATAAACAGTTGCAAGAGTTTCACGGATTGAGGGCGTTTCCTTTTCAAAATGCGGCTCTCGTCTTAGCGCCGCGCACACTTGTTCATAACATTTGGAAGAGCTTGGCGGATCCCCATGATCAGCGTACCAGAAATAGTGTTTTTGAAGGATTCAGGATTATGCGGGTGCCACAGTTATGCTGATTCGCGGTGTTGAAATCCAATACATGGTTTTCTGACACGATCCTAGATCGTCGCGACGCAGCAGAAAGGCTGATCCGTGGCGTTGAAATCCTGAGAACAATGTTTTGGAATGCTTCAGGGGCTCCAAAGGTGTCTTCCAACGAGGCAGTTCCCTCAATGGACATGAACCTTTGTAGGGGCCTATGAACAGGGAGCTTGGAGGTAGGGTTCATTCCAACATCGTTGATGACTCGTTGGTTTACACTGGTCCTCCTCCTCCTCCTCATCCTCGTCCTTCTCCCCCTGAGGGTACTGACACACCTCCCCCTCCTCCTCCCGCTGCTCCTCCTCCTCCTCCTCCTCCTCGTCCTCGTCCCTCCCCTCCTCTCTCCTCCTCTCCTCCTCCTCCTCCTCCTCTCCCTCCTCCTCCTCCTCCTCCTCCTCCTCCTCCTCCTCCTCTTCCTTCTCAGACATCAGACGTCGTTTTTTTTCGCAACGCGGCTTCCCAGAGGTCTGGACCACCTCCCTGGGACCAGTTTTTCATTCCGAGTCCGTTTTGACGGTCCTGAAGCCTAGCATGGGCCCCTGGAGGCCGAAAGCGGCCCAAAACCTTACGTCGTGTTTTTGTTGGTTGTTGTTGCGCGACGCGAGGACGCTAGGGTTCACTCCCCCCTTGTTCTGCTCTTGCTCCCCCCCCCCTCTGCAGGTGGGTGGACCGCTTCATGGCCCACCACGCCGCCATCCTCTACTACTGGATCGTGGCGGCGTTGTTCGCCGTCGACCCAGTGCAGGCCTACAACTTCATGATCCTCGTGGAGGACCGCGGGGGGGGGGGTCAGGGGCATGGGCCCAGACATCCAGCGTCTCGACAAAATCGAGACGGAGATTTTTCGTCGTTTTCGGCCTCTCTGGGCCCTCGGCGGGCCTCGGGACTGTCAAAAAACGACTCGGGATAAAACACCGGTCCCAGGGAAGTGGTCGGGAGGTCGGAGGCCCGCGTCTTTCGAAAACATCGGATTCGTCGGATCTCTGGGGGGGGGGAGCGTCCTTCGAGGCTGAAGGTCTTCGGGTGTTCTCTGCGGCCCTCGGCGGTTCTCCAGCCTCGGGATGCTCTCCAGCAGCTGCGCCTCGCCGAGAGGCGTCCGCGGGTGCCCTGCTCGTCCCGACCGGCAGGCGGCCCGAGGCCCGGGCCATGGCCCGGAAGGAGCACGGGATGGGGCAGCGGCGGAGGAGGTGGAGAGGCAGGATGCGGGCCCACACCTCCGCGCGTCGTGACGAGATCACGGCGGGGCGGTTTCTGTTCTTTTGTCTCTGCCATTCTCGGCTTCCGGGGCCCTCGCCAGACCCCGAGACCTTCCAGAAACGACTCGGGGTGAAAAGCTGGTCCCGGGGAAAGGGTCCAGCTGGGGTCCACGTTGTGAGAAAGTCGCGGCGCCAGAGCCCTGGGAAGCTACAGCAGCAGGCGGAAGAGGAGGTCGGCACTCCTCACAGTAGCAGCAGGACATGGGGTAGGAGTAGAGAGTAGAGACAGCATGAGAAGAAAGGAAAGGCGAAGGGGGGGATGAGGATGATTATTGGGAGGAGGTAGGCCATGGCGGAGGAACTGGAGGGGGATGAGAAGGAGGAGGATATGGAGTAGGGGCTTGGTGGAAGAGGAGGTTGAGGATGAGGATGATGCTGATGAAGATGATAAAGATGATGATGATGCTCATGATGCTGATGATGATGATGATGATGATGATGATGATGATGATGATGATGATGGTGATGAGGCGGAGGAGCAAGAGTATGATGATGATGATGAGGAGGAGGAGGAGGAGGCGGAGGAGGAGGAGGAGGCGGAGTATGAGGAGGACCAGTGTAAACGCAAGAGTCATCAACGATGTTGGAATAAACCCTCCCTCCAAGCTCCCTCTTCATATGCCCCATACAACGCTTCATTTCCGCTGAAGGAGCTGCCCCTTTTGGAAGACAACCGTTTGAGGGCCCTGAACTATGCCAAAACATTGGTCTCGGGAATCCAACGCCACGGATCAACCTGACGATTGCGTCTTGACGGTCCTGAATCGTGCCAGAACGCCTTTTTTTGGGATGTCAACACCGCGAATCAACATAATTGTTGCACCAGCATAATCCTGAATCCTTCGAAAAAACATTATTCCTGGCACGCTGATCATGGTAAACCGTGAAACTCTTCAAAACCATAAAAATAACCAATGTGTGCGGCGCTAAGGCGAGAGCCACATTTTGAAAAGGAGCCGCCCTCAATCCGTGAATCTCTTGCGAGTGTTTAGAACGAATGTGCGCGGGGCTAAGGCGAGAGCCACATATTGAACAGGAACCGCCCTCAATCTGTGAAGCGCTTGCAATTTTTAAGAACGAATGTGCGCGGCGCTAAGGCGAGAGCCACAGTTTGAAAACCACCCGCTTTCAACCCGTGAAACTTGTGTGAACGAATGTGCGCGGCGCTAAGGCGAGAGCCACCTTTTGAAAAGCAATTGCCCTCAATCCGTAAGACTTCTGCTAATGTTTAAAACGAATGTGCGCGGCGCTACGGCGAGAGCAACATTTCGAAAACCACCAACCCTCGAAACTGCTGCCACTTTTTAAGCTTCAGGGTCATCGATCGTGAGGAAGTCTCATGCGAAACGCCCGGCCCGCCCTACACACAGGCCTCGGGGTGCGACAGGGAGAAATTGCTTATAAGGAACACGAATGGAGGAAGAGGGAGAGGAAGAGGGAGAGGAAGAAGAGGAGGAGGAGGAGGAGGAGGAGGCGGAGCGAGCGAGCGAACGACCTCGCCAGCAGTTCGGCGTCAGCGCCAGAGAGCACGGGCATGGAACGGTGGGCGCCTGCCAGCGTCCTAAATCGCTGCTGACTCTGTTCAAGGCGAGACGGTAGGGGCGCCTGAGGGAGCCCAAAGTTGCCTACAGAGCCATGGGCCCCTCGTCAGCCCCTAGCCCGTCTCGGTCCTCCAAATGTTCAGACAAAGAGGGGGCGAAACGCCGTGGCTGACCCCCCCCCATAACCTACATGTCAGTTTGGGTGCATGCGTGCTCGACTCAGCTGTAAGGGTTATGCTACGCCGAACTTGCGCTGCAGCCGCACTCACATTTAAAAGAGCGTGCAGAGAATCCTCGGCGAAGATGTTGAGGTGCTTAACGAAGGGATGGGCAAGGATTGCGGGGTATAACACTCCCACCACGATGAGGGCCCATCCGGCCTGCCAGCAGCCGCTCCACGAATATTTCTCATGCCGCGGAGAATATGCCGCTATACTTTTTTGTTATGAAGGCTTCTTATCGTGTGTGTGTGTGTGTGTCTACTGTGCAGTTGCCAGCGTCGCGTCCGCTACTGAGAGGCATCTTGAGGGGGCTCCCTTCTTCCCCCGTGTCCCTCCCCTCCTCCCTCCCTCCCTCCCTCCCCCCCTCCCCCCTCACTTAGCCCGAGGGCCCCGCGACCGGCTAGTAAACTCTCGCCGTGAGAAGGAGGAGGAGGAGGAGGAGGAGGGGGAGGAGGAGGAGGAGGAGGAGGAGGAGGAGGAGACGGGATTAGCGACAATCTGCACACACACAGGTGGTAAGTGAGGTTGAAGGCAATACACAGGCCATGTGCACGCACAGAAGGTGGTGGATGAAGAGGGGGGGAAGGAAGTCGGGAAGGACAATGAAGAGGACGATGAGGCGGGGCTGAAGATGGTTGGAAAGACGTAGTAGAGGAGGAGAATCAAGACGTAGTGGAGGAGGAGGAAGACGAGTAGCAGGAGAGGAAGGAATGGAAGGAAAGGATTATGAGGAGGAGGGCAAGGAGACGACCTCGAGCCTCGTCCCTAAACCTCGACCCTCGAACCTCCCTACCTGCCTCTTCATCGCCTCTCCTTACCTCGTCCATCTCTCTTCACCCTTCCCTCGCCCGCTGTCATCCCCTCCCTCGGCCGCAGGAGCATGCGCACGTGACGTACGCCCAGTTCGCCGACGAGAGTGGGCCTCAGACCTCTGCTGCCGGTCGTCGGCACTCTGAGCTGGGGATTGGGATTCCTGGTCTTGCGGGCGCGTCGTCTCGCCAGCCTGCGCGTCGTCCCGCGCAGGCAAGCAGTATGATGGCGGTGGTGATACTTGTGGCGGCGACGACAGGGGCGACGATGATGGTGCTGGCTGTGGGCGTGCTGGTTTGATGACGGTAGCAGTGGTGGTGGTGATGCTGCTGATGATCATGGCGATGACGATGGCGATGCTATCGATGACGCCGATGGTGATGATGATGATGACGATGACGATCATGATGCTGATGTGTGGTGATGATGATGATAATGATAATGATGATGATGATGATAATGATGATGATGATGATGATGATGATGATGATGATGATGATGATGATGATGATGATGATGATGATGATGCTGATGCTGATGCTGATGCTGATGCTGATGCTTGATGATGATGATGATGATGATGATGATGATGATGATGATGATGATGATGATGATGATGATGATGATGATGAAAGTGCGCCAGTGGATCTCCCTGAATACACTAAAGGGGGGGGGAGGGGCAGAACCCCCCCCCCCTCCCCCCCTTCAAGGGGAGGGGTGGGTCCGGACCCCCTCCCCCCCCTTCCCTCCTTAAGGGGAGGGGGGGGTCCCGACCCTTCCCCACCCCCCCCTCCCTTGAAGGGGGGACGGTCCGGACCCCCCCCCTCCCCCCCTTGGCGCTGGAAGGGGGGGGGTCGGACCCCCCCCTCCCTCGTGTAGGGAGTACTGGAAAAGGGAGGGGGAGGGGTCGGACCCCCCCCCCTCGTGTAGTGAGTACGGAGTTGGGAGTAGGGAGTGGTGAGTAGTGAGTTAGTGCGTAGTGAGTAGTGAGTATTGGGTAGTGAGTAGTGTGTAGTGAGTGGAGAGTAGGGAGTAGGGAGTAGGGAGTGGGGAGTAGTGAGTAGTGAATAGTGAGTAGTGTGTACTGATATGTGAGTAGTGAGTGGCGAGTAGTGAGTAGTGAGTAGTGAGTAGCGAGTAGCGAGTAGTGAGTACTGAGTAGGGAGTAGGGAGTAATGAGTAGTGGGTTGTTAGTAGTGGGTAGTGAGCAGTGGGTGGCGAGTAGTGATTAGTGAGAAGTGAGTAGTGGGTAGTGCGTAGTGCGTAGTGAGTAGTGGGTAATGAGTAGTGAATAATGAGTAGTGAGTAGTGAGTAGTGAATAGTGAGTAGCGAGTAGTGAGTAGTGACTAGTGAGTAGTGAGTAGTGAGTACTGAGTAGTACGTAGTGCGTAGTGAGCAGTGAGTAGTGAGTAGTGAGTAGTGAGGAGTGTGTAGTGGCAGTGGGTAGTGAGTAGCGAGTAGCGGGTAGGGAGTAGCGAGTAGTGAGTCGTGAGGAGCGAGTAGGGCGTAGTGAGTAGTGTGTAGCGAGAAGAGAGTAGTCAATAGTGAGTAGTGGTAGTGATTATTGAGTAACGAGTAGGGAGTAGCGAGTAGTGAGTAGTGAGTAGGGAGTAGGGAGTAGGGAGTAGTGAGCAGTGAGTAGTAAGAAGTGGGTAGCGGATAGTGGGTAGTGAGTAGCGATTGGTGAGTGGTGGGTAGTGGGTGGTGAGTAGTGACTAGTGACTAGTGAGTTGTGACTAGTGATTAAAGACTATGTAGCGACTAGTGAGTAGGGAGTAGTAAGTTGTGAGTAGTGAGTAGTGAGTAGCGGGGAGTGAGTAGTGAGTATTGGGCAGCAAGTATGGGAGTAGGGAGTAGTGAGTACTGAGTACTGTGTAGTCAGTATTGTGGAGGGAGTAGGGAGTAGCGAGTAGCGAGTAGTGGGTAGTGAGTAGTGATTTGTGGGCATTGAGTAGTTAGTAGTGAGTAGTGAGTAGTGGATAGTGGGTATTGGGTAATGAGTAGTGATTAGTGAGTAGTGAGTAGGGAGTAGTGAGTAGTGCTTAGTGAGTAGTGAGTATTGAGTAGTGGGTAGTGAGGAGTGAGTAGTGACTAGTGAGTAGGGAGGAGGGAGTAGTGAGTAGGGAGTAGTGAGTAGCGAGTAGTGGTTGGTGGGTAGTGAGAAGTGGATAGTGAGTAGTGAGTCGTGAGTAGCGAGTAGGGGGTAGTGAGAAGTGAGCAGCGAATAACGAGTAGTCAGTAGTGGGTAGTGAGTAGTGAGTAGTGAGTACTCTTTGGGGCTGGGGTTAGTTTTTGGGGTTAGGATTAGGGGCTTGGGTTAGGGTGAG